GAGTGAGAGTAAATAAATAACATTTATTAACATTAATAAATTAACATCTTATTCATATATTTCAGATCTTCCTGGATTTCTTTTTTTTTTTTTTTTTGAGAGAGACAGAGTCTCACTTTATCGCCTAGGCATCACAGCTCACAGCAACCTCCAACTCCTAGGCTTAGGCAACTCTCTTGCCTCAGCCTCCCAAGTAGCTGGGACTGCAGGCGTCTACCACAACGCCCAGCCATTTTTTTTGTTGTTGTTGTTGCAGTTTGGCCGGGGCTGGGTTTGAACCCGCCACCCTTGGTACATGGGGCTGGCACCCTACCCACTAAGCCACAGGCGCCACCCCTGGATTTTTTTTTAATAAAAGAAGTAGACTATTACAGATAAAGCCCTCTTAATACTTCTTTGTAATATTTCCTATTCATCTTCCTGCCTTACCTTCATCCCAGAGGCAACAATATACATTTGTTGGTTTCCTTACATAAAACACGTTTGCACATTTGTGTCTATGTTTGTACATACACTGGCATATACACATGGGGCTGTTTTATAAATTTTAAAACATGAAAAGCACACTGTAGGCTTCTTTTGGCAACTTGCATTTTCCACTCAACACCTTTTCCTTTATTTACTTTTTTTTTGAGACAGAGTCTCCTTTGTCACCCTCAGTAGAGTCCCATGGTGTCACAGCTCACAGTAACCTCAAACTCTTGGGCTCAAGCGATTCTCTTGTCTTAGTCTCCCAAGTAGCTGGGACTACAGGCGCCTGCCACCACGGTTGGCTATTTTTAGAGACAAAGGTCTGGCTCTTGCTCAGGCTGGTCTCAAACCTGTGAGCTCAGGCAATCCACCCACCTCAGCCTCCTAGAGTGCTAAGATTACAGGTCTGAGCCACTGCGCCTGGCCCCCTCAATACATTTCTTAAAATGATGCATGTGGATCTATATTTCTTTTTATTTAATTTTTGAATAACATTCCATTATATGTACCTACTCTATTGGTAGGTACTGTAACTGTTTCTATTTTATACTATTATAAATAATATTCAATTATCCTTATGTGTGTCCCTTGGTACATATACATGAAAATTCTTCCTAATTATCTAAAAATAATTTCTGAGTCTTATGATATATGCATTTCTCAATATTAACAGGTATTGCCTGTAAAACTTCCCATAGTGGAAATGGCACTGTATCAGAGTTCTGTTTTTTCCATGTCCTCATCAATATCAGATTATCAGACTTTTCATATTTGACTATCTGATGGATATTAAATTTCTACTTTTTGGATTAGTAATAAGGTTATCTAGCTGTTAAAATGATACGTAAGAAAAAAAAATTGATATTTGGAAAATTCTTATGATATGCTAAGTTGGGCACAAAATTATATATATTATAAATATAAATATTATATATACACACATATATAAACATTATATATTTAGAAACTCTCCTGTGGACAAGGGACTTGAACAGAAGCTTCTCTGAAGACAGGCGCACAGCCTACAGACACATGAACAAATGCTCATCATCCTTATCATCAGAGAACTGCAAATCAAAACCACTTTGAGATATCATCTAACTCCAGTAAGAATAGGTCACATAACAAAATCCCAAAACTACAGATGTTGGCATGGATGTGGAGAAAAGGGAACAAACAATTCTGTACTGCTGGCGCGAGTGCAAGCTAAGATGTCCCTTTTGGAAAGAAGTATGGAGAATGCTCAGGGATCTAAAAGTAGACCTGCCGTTTGATCCTGCAATTCCTCTACTAGGTGTATATCCAAAAGACCAAAAATCACTTAACAACAAAGATATTTGCACTAGATTGTTCACTACAGCTCAATTCGTAACAGCCAAGTCATGGAAGAAGTCCAAGTGCCCATCGATCCATGAATGGATTAATAAATTGTGGTATATGTATACCATGGAATACATATACCATCCTTAAAAAAAGATGGAGACTTTACCTCTTTTACATTTACATGGATGGAGCCGGAACATATCCTACTTAGTAAAGTATTTCAAAATGGAATAAAAAATATCCAATGTACTCAGTACTATTATGAAATCAATTTACAATCACTCACACTTTCATATGAAGAATAGATCATAACTATGGCCCAAGATGAAGGAGGGAAGAGGGGGGATGTGAGGGGAGGGGGAAGGTCAGATTGAGGGATGGTGAATGGTGTGAATGGTGCATAATGCAAGGGTACATGTCAGATCTACTAGTATGGAGTATAAATGTCTCAACACAGTAAGTAAACGAGATGAGATATATATTGATCAGTGTGATGTAAACGTTCCTAATTCTGTATGAAATCAGTACATTGTGCCCCATAAATGGATTAATGTATACATGAGCTATGTGTTTATGATTTAACAAAAATAAAAAAGAAACTCTCAACCATGTTACCAACACTTTTTAAAGAAAATCTACAATTATTTCAAAATAAAAGGTTAAATTTTAGGCTCGGTGCCTGTAGCACAGTGGTTATGGTACCAGCCACATACACTGAGGCTGGTGGGTTCAAACCTGGCCCAAGTCAGCTAAACAACAATGGCAACTGCAACAAAAAATAGCCAGCACTGTGGCGGGCACCCGTAGTCCCAGCTACTTGGGAGGCGGAGGCAAAAGAATCACTTAAGCACAAGAGTTTGAGGTTGCTGTGAGCTGCGATGTCACAGCTCTCTACCGAGGGCGATATAGTAAGACTGTCTCATAAAAAGAAAAAAAAAGTTAAATTTAAAAAAAGGCAATAAACCAAAACATAAGAGTGATTATTACTGGGACTGGGTGGTAGGATTGCTGATACTTTTTGGGTTTTCCTTATTTTCCAATAAAACAAGTTTTTTAAAGTATGGGTCATTTTTACAAACTGGAAAATAATATGGCTGGTTTGTACTAAAATTGAAAAATTAGTTTTAAAGGATTCATATAGCATGTGCCCGGGTGTCTGGCCCTTTTGGGAACATGTGCCATTTGGCATGTGGCAGTTAAAAAAAAAAGAAGAAGAAATCATATGGCTCATGCCTGTAATTCTAGCACTCTGGAAGACCAAGGTGTAAGGACTGCTTAACGTCAGGCATTCTAGACTAGCCTCAGCAATAATGAGACTCATCTCTATAAGAAAAATCAGCAAGGTGTGGTGGCATGCACCTGTAGTCCCAGCTACTCAGGAGACTGAGGCAGGAGGATGGCTTGAGCCCAAGAGTTTGAGGTTGCTGTGAGCGATGATGACACAGCACTCTACTCAGGGTGACAGAGTGACACTGTCTCCCGTCCTTGCCCAAAAAGAATCTTTTAACCTGTATTGTCTACTTTATAACAGTGTGAACATTTCCTGAATGCATTAAATATTTTTCTGCCACTTTTAATGGCTACAAAGAATTCTACTATAAAGATGAATCACTTTTATTCTCCTCAAACTCTATGGATAATTCAATTGTTTCGAAGTTTTTATCTTGTTGCTACCATAATCAATACTGGATGAATATGCTCGCTGTAAAATCTTTATGAACATCCATGATTACTTCTTTGGGATATTCTTGGAAGTGGAATTTCTCGGTCAAAGAAAGAATATGCATGTTTTATAGCTCCTATAGCCTGCTGCCAGATTACCCTCCAATTTACATTCCTACTAGCAGAGCATAAGTTACCCCTTTCCTCATAGTCTTGCCAACATCTTTTCTGTGGTTGCTAGTTTTATAGATGAAAATTTGCATTATTTCAATTTGTATTTTTATGGTCATTAGTAAGATTATCTTCCCCTCCCCCCCAAAGTTTTTTGAGTATTTACATTCTTTGCTCTTTTCTTTTTTTGAGACAGAGTCTCACTTTGTTGCCTCATAGCTCACAGCAACCTCAGACTCTTGGGCTTAAGCAATTTTCCAGCCTCCTGAGTAGCTGGGACTACAGGTGCCTGCCACAATGTCCGGCTATTTTTAGAGGCGAGAGGTCTTGCTCTGGCTTAGGATGGTCTCGAACTAGAGCTCAAGCAATCTACCTGCATGGGCCTCCTACAGTGCTGGGATTACAGGTGTGAGCCACTACACCTGGCCCTCCCATTTTCATTTTTAAAGTAGTAATTGTTTTTCTAGAATAAAAGAAAATTAAAGAAATAAAGAAGAGTAAAGCTCTTCCTTAAATTCTAACTCTTTCCCTTCCCCTTAAGTCCTTTGTGACTTTTAAATATAAGTGTCTATAGGCAAAGGCCGGGCACAGTGACTCACGCCCGTAATCCTAGCTCTCTAGGAGGCTGAGGCAGGCGGATTGCGGGAGCTCAGGAGTTTGAGACCAGCCCGAGAAAGAGGGAGACCTCTATCTCTAAAAAACTAGCTGGGCATTGTGGTGGGAGCCTATAGTCCCAGCTACTTGGGAGGCTGAGGCAAGAGGATCACTTAAGAGTTAGAGGTTGTTGTGAGACAGCACTCTACCAAGGGCAACAAAGTGAGACTCTTGTCTCAAAAAAAAAAAAGAAAAGAAAAAAAAATTGTATTATATTTTAAAGTAGTGGTATGAAAGAAAATGACTTTTGATTTCTCTATTTTTTAAATAGCTGTCCACTCTATTTTATTCTCTTATGTCTTTTTAAAGTAGCTACAATATCTATACTTCATAATTGTTTTCCCCCTGCAGATAGACATACTTCTTTTAATTTCTTTTTCTTTCTTTTTTTTTTTTTTTTTGTCGAGACAGAGTCCCACCCTGTGCCCCTGAGCAGAGTGCAGTGGCTTGGTAGTTCACTGCAACCTCAGACTTCTGGCTTGTGGGCATCACGCTGCCTCAGCCTCTGGAAGCCGCTGGGATTACAGGTCTTTGCCGCGGCGCCCAGCTAGGTTTTTCCATTTTTTTCATGAGTGAGTGTCTCACTTTCGCTCAGGCGAGTCTTGAACTCCTGAGCTCCACAGATTCTCCCTCCTCAGCCTCCCATAGTGCTGGGATTAAAGGCATGAGCCACCGCACCCGGCTAATTTCTTTTTCATATATTATTGTACTAGGTATAATTTCTAGAACAATGTTAAATAAGAGTGGCAAATGAGACAATATAGGAATGCCTCGTATTGTCCAATGTGTTGCTGGCTATTCATTTGAGAGAGTTTTTTTGTTATCATGTCAACAGGCTGGCATTCTTCCTTTCTCTCTGTGAGATGCCACACCATTCCCTATTCCTCTGCTCCACCACCCTCCATCTTTCCCTTTCTCACTCACTGCTCTCTGCTCCTCTCACTTTCTCATCTCTCCTCCCCATTTATAATCTTTTATATCTTAACCAAAAAACAAAGGAACAAAAAAGAATCAATGTCATGAAAATATTAAGAGTTTATATTGACAAGATTTGGCTCTTAAAACATAATGGTTAAAAAAACACAGGATATGTACTTACGATAATAAATGCTCATCAGGAACTGTAAAAATAGGAATTGAAAAAAAGTTAATCATGTTAAACCAGTACTGACAAAAATCTTAAGAAAGACTACAACCAAACAGACTTCTGTGTATGATAATAAACTGAACATATGTACCTAGTTTTACTCCTTCCCTAAACCCCACTAAAACGATAATAAAAGGATTTTTTTTTTTAAGCATAAACTCCAAAGGATGAGAAAGAGAGAAACAAAAGCTAAGATACTTGGTAAGCTGACAGAAGAATGTAATAATTTACAAGCTCTGAGAAATCTAAATCCTAAACTAGCATCAAGGAGGGCCAAGTACAAATCTGATTTATAGTCCATAATCCATCCACCCCTCCCTACTCTCCAAAGCCCTCAGAAATTGGTGGCACCAGACAGCTTTGAAGGTAGATATGAAGGAAAGTTTTAGAAGCACTAGGAACCCAATCAGCTCGATTGCCTCTCCTTCCTTCTGGCAAAAGACTAGGTTTATTTTCTGCATAAGTTCAAACACAGAATATTTGTACTAGGGGGAAATACTAGACACAGTAGGGGTAAAAGTATTAGACTGAAACCATGAGGATCTTCTGCTTTCTTTCCCAATACGGTCCCTCTAACACAAGCAATCAGCTTTTACTCTATATACAGGACACTGAAAGTCTTCCCTAGGGACTTCCCTAAGGAAGTGGGAATGATGCTGAAATGGTTTCCCCAACTAATGATGTTCACAGTTCATAGTCCCTCTGTCACCCAGAACTTCCAATACATTTTCAGTCTTTCAATCTTAGGAAGAGAAGAAAACAAGCAGAAGAAAGCTAATTAAAGGAAAAACTGCAGAGAGAAGAAAATTTCAAACACCTATTATTAATATAATTAAAACTATCAGTGGAGAAAAAGCCAAGCCAATGCAATAAAAAAACAGGCACAAGAGTTTTATAGAAAGTGTTTTAGTTAGGCTAGAAATTAAAAATAACATAAGAAAAATGAAAAAACTCAACAGAAAATCTGCAAGATTAAGCTGAAGAAAGTTCTCAGGAAGTAGAGAACATAAAAAGATGAAATTTAGAAGCCACAGTAAGTCAGTCACAAGGACAATCAATATAGGACATTCAGTAACTGAATAGTTCAACTACCAGAAACAGAGAGTGTGAAGGTAGGAAAAGAATTTTTTTAAAAAGTATAAAGCCGGCTGGGCGCCTGTGGCTCAAGTGGCTAAGGCGCCAGCCACATACACCTAAGGTGGTGGGTTCAAATCCAGCCCGGCCCACCAAACAACAATGATGGCTGCAACCTAAAAATAGCCAGGTGTTGTGGCCTCCGCCTGTGGTCCCAGCTACTTGGGAGGCTGAGGCAGGAGACTCGCTTGAGCCAAGGAGTTGGAGGTTGCTGTGAGCTGTGAAGCCATAGCACTCTACCCAGGCAGATAGCTTGAGGCTCTGTCTCCAAAAAAAAAAAAAAAAAAAAAAGTGTAAAGCCTCCAAAAGTACATCTCATGTCCCTTTCTTCAGGAAGCTAAAGTGAGTGCTCCATAAAACAGGGTAGTAAACCAAGAAAAAGAAAATCTTAAGAAATACTACACATTAGACCCAATATAAGTAAAGAGAATTCCTAGATAATAATTGTGAAAGGAGCACTCATGAAACAGCCAAGACATCAGCCAGTTCATATTTAGGCAAGTCAGAAGGCTCTAGGAGAGATTTCTTCAGGAAAAGGAAATTGATAAAACACCTCATTCATCTGAATGAATGGAGTGGAGATTTACAACACTGGTAGAGTGTGAGGCTGAATTAGAGGTAAACACATAGAAGACTAAGCAAACAAACCAACCAAAAGTTACACAGGAAAGGAAAAGTAATCACTGATTCCTGTGATTTTGCTGTGACTAGTTTATACACCATCATACAAGTGAATCTCACAATCCTGATCTAAAAAAAAGTTACCACTGAAGAACGGGGGTCAGGAAGGATGTACAACTATCTAGAACAAAGATTTTGAAAGAGCAGAAAATACTTCTGGAAATAAACGTGAATCAACAGCAGTGGTCCCTGTGTCTGAGGCACCTATTATTAGGCTCCCTTCAATGGATTAATTCATTTTGACACAGAACCCAGTTCTGGCAATAATTGTGTCAAGTGACAGCAGTCCAAACCCTCAGGCCATCAAATCTTAAGAGCCCCAGAACTGCTGTTTGAGTTAGCCTTTTCTTCACTCTTTCTAGAATCAAATATGTTTGAATAACAGGCTTTAATTTCTTAAGCACACATATTTTTAGGTTTTGTTAGTTTTGACTGAAACGACAAAATAAAAGTTGGTTTACTTTTCTCAGTTCTTTAAAAACTGTAAGTAACTCAGGAGATAAACCCTAAAGTACAGTGCGTACTTACAAAAGTCACCCAGTGAATAAATTCCAGCAGCTTTGAGGCCTAATTTGACTGTTATTTGTAAAGTGGCTATTTTTACATAGGAATAGTAGTACTCATTAGTTTAGTGCTTTTTTTTTTTTTTTGAGACAGGGTTACACTGTGTTGCTTGGACTGGAGTATAGTGACCTCATCATAGCTCACTGCAACCTCAAACTCCTGAGCGCAAGTGATTCTCCTCTCTCATCCCTCCTTCCCCTAGTGGCTGGGACTACAGGCACCAGCATGTCCAGTTAATATTCTATGTTATGTAGAGATGGGGGGGAAGGGTCTCACTGTTGCCCAGGTTGGTCTCAAACTCTTGGCCTCAGGCGATCCTCTCGCCTGAGCCTCCCAAAGTGCTGGGATTACAGGGGGTGAGCCACCGCGTTGACCTCGTCAATGCATTTTGGTTACGCTAGCATGCTACGCGTACGTCCTGAGAGCATCTCTTCACTCTGACTTTGGCGAGCAGTCATAGGGCACCCTCTGCTGGTCAGAGGAGGAACGGTACTTTCACACCACCTGATTTACTCCAGCAGTTGCATAATCATTTGGATTTTGTAGCACTAAAATTTTCTGAAAAAAGTGCATTTAAGTATTAAAGTTAACACCACAATTTGAAAAATAAGCTCAATGATTCAAAATTCTGAGCACAATAATTCAAAAACCCACTTTTCCGTAACTCACTGTAGCGCCGCCCCCTTGGTGGCGCACCCCGCACTGGCTTCCACGCTCCCGAGAGGCGCGGCTTCCGCACTGCGCGGCGCTCGGCTACCTGCTCAACGGGTTTGATTTTTCACTCGCCCAAATTTCGCTTTTCTTCCCCTTTAAACGAGCAAGGCATTTAGACGTAGAACACATGGCGAAAAGTCACTGCTCCACTACCAGGCGCGTGAGGCGGGGCGGAACCCAGCGTCCGCCTCCCCGCCCACCCGAGCCCGGAGCTCGGCCCCCGACCCCGCCAGACACGACCGCCGTCCCTTACTTCGCGCGCTCTCCTGCACCGCCGCGGCCATCTCGTTCAGGAGTTCCTCCACGACTGCCGGTAGCGCGACGGCCATGGCGCCACACGGCATGGTCTTGAGTCCCAGCCGCCGCCGTAACGCTCCCACACACTGCGACGACCCGCGGAGATTCTCGTAGCCAGAGGGGGCGGGTCCGGACGAGGGGGTGACGTCGGTATGCGTCACTGCGCATGCGGACGGTAACGGTGACGGCGCTTCAGTCGTCACGGCCCGGCCAATCCAGCAAGCGCTTAGCGCGGGGGGCGGGACGTCCCTGGGAACCCGCCGGGCCTGCAGTGCGCCGAGGACACGGCGGCACCATGTATCGGTTTCTGAGCCGGAGCCTGGGCCGAGGCCTCCTGCGGGCCACGGGGTGGCGGTGCCGGGGCTGCTCGGCACGCCTGTTCACAGGGTTGGGCGGAGGCCCGTGGCCGGAGGTGCAGGCGCCACCGTCCCGAGTCGCGCCGCACGGCGGAGGCCCGGGCCTGCTGCCGCTGCTGGCAGGTGAGAGGCGCGGGCGGGGCCGGCCGGGCGGGGACAGGGGCGCGGGCTGAGCCCGGTGACCACAGAGCCCCTTCTCGCAGCGCTCGCCTGGTTCTCGAGGCCTGCTGCGGCAGAGGAGGAGCAGCAGCAGGGGCCGGACGGGGCCGCCGCCGAGGACGAGGCGGACGAGGTCGAGGCCGAGATCATCCAGCTGTTGAAGAGAGCCAAGGTGAGGCGCTGCCCGGCCTTGCGCCCTGCGCCCTGCCCAGCGCGGCAGCCTTGTGGGCGAGGTCCGGTGGCCTTGTTGATGCGTGTTCTCTCCATTTTTCTGAAGAGTGGATGGAGACTTTCAGGGCACAATTGCGCATAATAAGAATTGTCATTCAAAGGGAGGGGTTAGAGTCCATTCAGATTTGCCTTAGGCTGCAGTAAAACGTCCGTGGTCTCAAGTGCAAGTGAAGACGGCACCGCAGGCGTCAGGCGTCTGTGTTTTATTCAAACAAAACATCAAGAATGTTTTGTAGCGGTTTTTGTCACTTAACCAGTCAAACTGCAACGGCATAATTTTGCACATATATTTCTCCTGAAGATGAAATTTAGCGTTGGTTATCTGGTTTGATTTTTCTAAATTTTTCCTTTCACCACATCCTTTTTAATTTTCTCTTCTCCTCTACTCCCCAGGTTAACTCTTTCACTGGGCTAAATACTGATTCGATGTCAACAGCGTCCACATTTATATACCCACACTGCTGTGTGTTACTGACATGCCATCTCTGCTGTGAGGCCTCACTTGTCATATTTAACATGCCCCAAACTAAACTCTTGATCTTTAATGCCTCCCCAACATATTCCTTCCATCTTTTCTTTAATATCATCAGTATTTCAGCCTCATAGTTACTCTAAAAACTTGTGATACCTTACCATTGCCTCCCAGTACACTTACCGTTCAGCACCCATTCCTGTTGCCAACAAATCCAGTGTTTTTCAGATCTGTCCTCTTTTCTGTATTTACCCTGCTGTCGTCACCTTGGCACAAACCATCACTATCACTGGCAGCACTCCAGTAGTCTTTTCTGCCTTCCTGTCCCCCTACAGTCCATTCTCCATGAAGCAGCCAGAGGGATCTTTTTTTTAATACATAAATTGTACAACGTCACCTCCTAGCCTGAAACTATGAATGTCTTACCGCCGCATTTATGTTAAAATACAAAACTCCTTGCCTTGGCCTACAAGACCCTCCATGATCTAAACCAGCCTACTTTGCCCACTCATTTGGTGATAAATTATGGCTCACCATCCTTGCATTTCTTCTGAAAAAAACATTCTCTTCAGCTTGTAGGGGCTTCATTCACTCTCCATTCTCTGGGTCTTTCTTCTCCCCCGTTTCTAACTTGGTGGACTCATTGTCATGCTTCCCCCCTCCAGTTTAATGGTTAGTTCCTTGGAAGTCTTTCCTGACTTCCCTTTGCCTCGCCTTTCTTCACAGCTCTTATTGTTCATTAAGCTTGCTTGTCCTGCAGTCATCTTTGGCCTGCAGGAAGAGAGAAAGACAGGATGGAGGACAAGTAGCTTCCTTATAAAATATGACTAGTCACATGCCTTCTGCCTCCATCTCTTGGCCAGAACCTCATCATATGGCCACACTTAGCTGCAAGGGAGACTGACTTCCCTGTCACCTCTGTAGACAGTGCCTGGTGCATAGTAAGACTTCAGTAAATATTTGATGAATGAATGAGCAGCTTCCTTCTATGTATTAGGATGTACAGTTATCCACTTCTGTCTGGTAGCTCATGCATCTGCTTTCTTTATATTTCATCTTCTATTATTTTCTTTATCTTCTCTTTTCAGTTGAGCATCATGAAAGATGAGCCAGAAGAGGCTGAGCTAATTTTGCATGACGCTCTTCGTCTTGCCTATCAGAGCGATAACAAGAAGGCCATCACTTACACTTATGATTTGGTAACTCTTGTAGCCATTCTGAGCTGCTGACGAGGAAGGGTGGATGCCAGGGAAGGGTTGTTCGGTTCCTGATTTATACTCCTGACCTTCAGGATGTCCTAAAGCTCTTTTTTTGAAAAAAAAAAAAACTAAGTTTTCTTTTTTGGTTTCAATTTTTTTACCCTTAGGGTGTCACTTATAAGACCTCTCAATTCCAGACCAAAAAGAAACCAATATCATTAGCATTTGTTTCTTCAGTGATGAGTGGACCTGGATTTGATTTGTCAACAAAGTATGTGGAAGCATTTATTTCTCACACCGTTGCTATACTGTATTTCTTTCTAGCAAATTAATTGGTGACATACTTTTCACACTGAACTATTTTTGTATTTAGAGGGTGGAAGCAAAAGGGAATCTTTAGTTTAAAGGTTTTAAATTAAGTGGGATACAAGTGCTCTAAACTGAAAAACAATTTGTAATTTGCTTTCAGATGGCCAACTTAGCATTTATACGGGGTCAGCTTGAAAATGTAAGTATATAATTTTATAGTATCTTGAACTGTGAAGGATTAATCTTAAGGGAATTGTAACACTGGGGTACAAGCTAAGTTGCTGTAACAAAGATGCCCCCAAATACAGTGACTCAAACAAGATAGAGATGTATTTCTCTTTAATGCACTCATTCAGGGGTAGGCTAAAGACGGAAGGCGGGTAAGTATAGGTACTTTTGCTTTCTGGTCCAGAAACCCAGGTTCCTTCTAAAATATGTCCGTATCTGCATGGGTTACTTGAGTCATCTGCAGTCTGTAGGAAGGGAGAAAGAGGATGGAGGGCAAGCAACTTCCTTGTAAAATATGATTTAAAAGTGGGTCACACTCCTGCCTATACCTACATCAGAGGATGTGGGACCCTGATATTTTGAAATGTTTTCCCTTTACAAGGGTACTTTTCCTCTGTGCGTGTGTCATGTGTATATGTGTTTTACAAAGAGTGATGCATCAGATTGGTACTTATAATCCAAGGTCATATAAGAAGAGTAAAAGAAAAATCTGTTTGTTATGCTTTTAGGCAGAACAACTTTTTAAAGCAACAATGAGTTACCTGCTAGGAGGAGGCATGAAGCAGGTAAGGACATTGGCTAATGTCAGCCTCTCATTGAAGCAGTTTTGATAGTAGCCTTGCTTCCTGAAAACTTCCTGCCATTGCTTATTGTGTGCTTTGGTCACAAGAGGTGTTTTTTCCCCCTCTAGGTCTGTGTAACAATTGCCAATCTTTCACTAATGCAACAATACGGTCACTGAGGAATTCACAGTTGGTTCATTCCTTTAAAAGAATAAAGACTATGGTTTTGCAGTCAAAACTAGTTTAGGAGTTGATCTGAAATATTCCATGAGAAAATTTTACATGCCGTGAATTTCCTTCATTTCTCTTTCTCCCAACAGGAAGACAATGCAATAATTGAAATCTCCCTAAAGCTGGCCAGTATCTATGCTGCTCAGAATAGGTAAGTATAGTCAGCATCAAAGTGTGGCAGCAGCTGGAGAGTAGGGCTGTGGGCAGGAAACTTTGACCCTGGGATGTTATATAATCTTCATATATCTGCTGGCCATCTGAGTCTCCAAAAAATTGGGTCACACTCAAAGCATTCCATTCTTCATCTTTGAAATTATCAGGCTTTTTCCTTTTTCCCCTGCTGTTTCCATTAGCCTGCTGGATGGGACACATCCCTCACACTGCTGGATGCCCC